TGTGTCCTGTCCCTTTAACCTGAAGGTTTGAAAGTGTTTGCACATTTCCAATAATCTCTGACAATGAAGATCATTTTAAGTTTTGTTTCAATATTTTAAATATTTTTCAACTTAAAATAACTGTATTTGAGCGAGTAAACATTATGACATTTTAACAACTTTTTTATTGTATGCTATAAAATGAACATATACAATGTAATATTATAAACAGGTACATTGCTTATTTCGACTTTTACAATATGAGTCGATATCATTGTTTTTTGTTTTTTTTTTTTTGAATTGACAAAGAAAATTATAAATATGTTTGTCCAAATATTTTTAATTTGCCTTTTTTTAATGATGAGCAAAAATTTGACTCTCAGTAGTAGACATACAAGACAGATTTAGAACCCCAAACCTTTGTTCATTAAACAAGGTACGTTCCATGTTATTGTTTACATAGGTTAAATATTCTAAAATGATTTTTCAAAGCAGATATTCTCAATAAAGAAGTTAATTCTAAATATGATTACACAGTTTCTATTGATTTGATGAATCTCTTAATATTATAAGTATGATATTTTCTACATGTAAACAAAAACAAGGCACAAGTCTTGCTTATATTTTGATGACTCTTACGTTCTGAATCTCCTTTACAAATCAACAAATGATTTTCAAATTTTTGCTGATCATTTGATTTGCTTGAATTAGGAGCTGTAAACATTAAAATTCATTGTTAAAAGAAATAGGTGATATTGTGTCCATTTCTCTTTAAACTGAAGTTTTGAAAAATTTATTCACACTGACAATATTCTCCCAGGACTGAATTAATGTCATTTTCCGTTTTGTTTCAATAATTTTCAAATTTTCAAATTAAAATAACTGTATTGTGGAGAATGAACATTATCACATTTTTAACAAATATTTGGTATGCTATAGAATAAACATGTACATGTTTTATTATTTATATTGCTTGTTTTGACTTTAACAATATGAGTTGATATCATTTTCTTTTAAAGTGACAAAGAAAATTAATAGTATTTTGTGTTCAATATTTTTTTCCTTTATTTTCTCTTTGTCACGAATAAAATAAAAGCAATCAAGGTATGTTTTTGAATTTGTGCTTAAAAGAGAAGAAGCTTCTGTCCACAACATTTCTTTCATCGCACAGTTTCAAGTAGAAGTTGTATGCAGCGTTAAGAGACTTTGGTTTTGTTAGTTTAACAATATGTAAGATTTCAAGTTCCAACCCTTGCCAGCGGCCTCGAAATCCAGCTGTACAGTGTTTTCTTGGTACCTTTTGAATATTCTCTCTCTGAATTTCATTAACTGGTAAATCATCAGTGTTAGGGTTCATATCTTCGAATCTTTCGACCTCTCCTGAACTGTCTTCATTCTCAGAGTCATCATTAAGTTTTTCAGATCTCTCATACATTACTTCAGGCTTAGATATTAAATACGGAAGATTATCATGCAACTTCATCACTGTAAGATGAGGGAAAATTTGCAGTCTAAATTTGGAAAGAATTTCATGATTCTGAAGGGTATGTGTCAAATTTGGGAGTTTCTTGTGGATCTTCAAATGATGTTTTTGGAAATTTTCGTAGGAAACATACCAGTTATTTTGCATCAAACCTATGCATGACACATATGTACAAATTTCTGTCAACAACTGAATGTTGATACGTTCTTCCATCAAATTGCAAAGAACCTCCGAAATCCATGGAAAGGAAAAATTATTGTCTTTTGCAATGTCTCGGAATTTTGAAGAATGAACTAATCCTTCTGATTCTAGAGAATGGATAACAAGATTGGTGACTTCTATGCTTTTTTCAGTAGAAATTTGGCCAGATTGTTCATATAGAATTTTCAAATACCCATTTCCTCTCCAAGCTATTTTAGGATTTCTATTCCCGTCATAAAATGATAGATCAGGGAAGTATGTAATATCTAAACTTTGAAATCCCTTTATCAAAATATCTGTAGTATTTCTACCCTCTTCTTCTATTAATTCTAAGACCCGCTTAAATACATATGGGTGCTTATATTGTAGTTTGTTGCAAAGTTTGTTGCATAAGTCCAACAAGGAGATGGATCCAGAAAATCTCCCCCCTCCTGGGAAAGTTTTACCTCTCATGTTTGCTAAAAGAGAGTGACCACAATTTGCTATTCTGTAAGGATCAGCCATAATGTCTTGAATTAAGATTAAGACAGCTCTCTTGCCAATTACTACATCGCCACTTTTCAAAACGTCAGAAAAATTGAATATACGTCGAATTCTGTTTTCTTCTATTTTGGATAGTTTTATAAACTTCAGCGGAGGGGTACTTCTATTGTTTAGTGCACTTACTTCACTATTTTCAAGACATAGGAATCCATTTTCCCAAGTAAGTGATCTGTCAGGAGAGGATCCCCCCGGTCCAAGATTTGACGCAAAAATATTGTCAAGTACTGAATTTGGTTTTCCTCTCCAGAATTTTTCATTGGCAACTTCGTATTGATATGCTTTCCAAACATCAAAAAAACCACCTTTGTTTTTTTTTCTCTTCGAACAAAGTGAATAATGTCTGATGAATATGCTTTGGTATACTGCATATAAAAGCAGAAAAAGTCAGTTGAGGATCTGGTGATGATGTTTTGTTCGAAAATGGCACCAACAGTGGGTACTTTGCAATTAGATTTTGTAGCACAGAACAATCGATAAAGTCTTTTGCGATAATTGTTTTTGAACTGTTCTGTTGCAAGGCAACAATTTCAACCCTAGCGTTGACCTTGACCAGTTTAAGGCAGTTTTCTTCACATATATCTAAGTACTCTTTGCTTTTTTTTTCTAAACTTTTTATTATTTCCTTATGAAGAATACCTGTAGAAACTATGCATCCAAACGTTGGATGAATATACGATGCACTCAAATGTGGAGTGTCGGCATAGAATTGAACAAAATTTAAGACATGAGGAGTTTTACAAATTTGTCGTAGTTCTTGAGTAATGTCAAGTATTCTTCCGTCTAAGTTTGTCTGGAAGTTTGCACAGGAACTCAAAGTGAGTGCTGTAGTAAATGTTCCACGCTCACCGACAATATCTTGTAGTCCGAATCTTGACCATAATAAATGTTGATCAAAGAACTTGGATGAAATGGTTATCGCAGCATGAATAGAAATAGTAGCTTTGTTCACATCAAATGCTTTCACGATGATTTCATCCGAAGTATCATGTTGACCTAATTGAAAAGCTAATACTGTTACCTCAAATTCCTCTTTATGCAGCGTTATTTGAAGTGCTTCATCTAAAAGACGTAACACAAGAATCCTGTCGTCTGGTAACACTCTCCATTTCCGGATATTTTTAATTGAATTTTTCTTAAATGTACCTCTAGATATATCCGCTGGCGACAAGGATTGAATACACTTCGAAAAATTATTTCGGAACGTATCGTAAAAATCGTATTGATATTTTTGAAGAAGTGATTCATTCACATGTGTAAAATGTGTCCGTTGAGGTTTTGGTAATAGAGCGAGATGAAATTCAAAACCATCACCTTCAAACATTTTTGTACTCACACTCCATCTTAAACATTCAAGCCCCCTTCTCGAAAAACTGGCTAGGGGCAAATGCTTCCTGACAATGTTATAGACTTTAATAAGACTAAATTTCTCTCTTGGTAGAATTCCTAAATACGTGAATGAAGCTGAAATATCTGAAAATCGTTCTAAAGTTGCCACTATACCGTCCACATCAAAATCGAAGTCATACCACAAGGTTTGAGTGACACGTGGAATCGTACAGTCTCTTATTCTAATTGGTTCAGTTCTGGTAAGTATGTTAGCTGGATTCAAGCCAAACCTGATGACTTCTTCGGTATTTTCCTTACCTGTCGTGATATATGCTGATTCGACCTCGTTGTCTGTCATTTCAATGTCTTCCAACTTCAAGTTTTACATAACGATTAATTGGAATGTACACGTAATAAACTGGATAAGGTTTGTTTGGGTAAGGGTTTAAGGTTAGGGTTAAGGTTACAGATAAGCGTCTTCATCAGCGTTGGAGGAATGGTTAGCAGGTTAGGTTAACGGCAGGGCTAGAGAAGTCAATTATTTTGATAAAGGTGAGGTGTTAGACTATTGTGATATCAATAATAACCTCTTGGTAAAAAAATTCAAATTATTGTAGCCGCATAAGATGTGTTTATTTAAGGTAAAGACATAGGTGAGCGTACCTTAACTGCAAGTTTAAGCGTAACTGTAACTTTAATCTTATTCTTAATTTAAGCCTTTATTTTAACCTTAACCTTAAGACAAACTTGACCTTAACTTGATCTATAAATTCAATATGAACGTTTAACTTAAATGGAAATGTAATAAAAATTTTAATATTTCCCTTAACCTTAACTTTAGTCTTAAACTTAACCTTTATACAAACCTTAAACTTCATCTTAATCATACGCAAAACCTAAAATTCAAAACATTAACCTAATCTTAACCTTAACCTGAATCTGAATCTTAACCTTAACCTTAACCTTAATCTTGAACTTAACCTTAACATTAACTCTAATCATAAGATTATACCGAAGTTTGAGTCTGTATAGCTAAATATATCGTTAAATAATGTCTTTCAGGTTGAGTTTGAATGTTTACTTGGCTGTTGGTTTTTAAGTAGAGCACAAAAGGGTTTAGTATGTATTCAAATCAGGTGAGTTCTGGAAAATATGTTTATGTCAATGAATTATGTAAATATCCGCTAGGTATCTTTTTGTATTATACTTGTCACATTTACCGTCATAATTAATTATTGTTTAAATTTTGGATTTACACTAAATAGGGTGTGTGTGTGTGTGAGGGAGAGGGTGTGTGTGTGTGTGTGTGTGTTTTTGGTTGTGTTTTTAATAAATGTATATTGTTTGTCGCTAGAGATCGAAAAGAAGGTGAATATGTAGAATCGAAGTTGTTGTAGGGTCAATATAAACCAGTGCATTTTCAATGTTAGAAATAAATTACATGGTTTAAAATGTGTTTCAGTTGAAAATGGAATGTGACACAAACGCAGAAAAAGAGAACGGTAACTATATTTACACATTAAATTAAGCTAAAAACAAATCATTTTTAAAGGAAAAAGTATTTTAATTTTCAAGGTGCATAATTCAATTAATTATATTTTCAATAGAATATGTTACAATATCTGAGCTGGACAATATTATTACCAAAGAGATAACCTCATTGAAGAGTCTGGTGATGGAAAACACGAAAGTGATGATTATGGAAGAAATGAAAGTATTGAAAGAGGACGTCTTCAGGGAAATTAGCAATGAGTTTTTTATCCAGGACAAAATAAAAGAAGAAATCAAGATGACCGTTTCACTGAAAGTCAAATCGTTTGAATATGAAATGACACAGAAAATGGTTCTCTTCACAGATCATTTACTAGGGCACCGTTGGGACCAATTATGGAAAACTCCTAAAGATGAATCTCTGGGCTCTACATTTCTGAAAGAAATTCTAGACAGGCATATTTCTCAGTGTAAGGTCGTTTTAATTCGTCCTTCAAACACTGCAAGAGCTCATTCAACTCAAAGTCATGTTTTATCTGTAAATGAGACATATACTAGACTTATCCCTAGAGAAATTGAATCAATTCCGAAGTCAAGCACATCATCTTTCATTGATGAAGAAAACGCTGTATCCCCTAACTCAATGGATATAATTTCAGAGCCCTTGGAGATGCCAACTAATCAAATGCAACCTAGTTATGATATTGTCGACAGTAATTTCAAGGTCTCCAATCAGGTCGAACTGACTACAGAGAAGAAAAACTCTGCACATATTTCACGGCCATTTAAGACCTTGAGAAGCTATCCAAGAAGACACTTAGCTAAAAAAGAGACTGATGTCCTTAATTTAATTGATGATTCTAACTTCATGGTGAAATATATTAATGATGAGATAGGTACAAAATTGAAAATACTTGTAAATTGTGTACACTGAGTATAGATAATAGAATCAATGATACATTTTGAATGTTGATATTACAGGAAATGGTGTATTTGCAAGGAAGAAGTTCTCTAAAGGTGAACCTTTGCTGGAATACAAAGGCAAATTGAGGGAAGGTCCATTCCTTGAAGACGAGGATGATACCTATTTCTTTGAATTTAATTTCAATGGCAAATTGAAGATGTGAGTAGTTTTTAATCATTTTCACAGCAGAATGTATCCTTCATCTTTCATTTAAATTTAAAAGAAACTAATTTACTTCTAGAATAGACGCATCTGTAGACGATGGAAGCCTTGGCAGATTAATTAATGACGAGCATTGCCATCCTAATATTTTTCCAAAACTCGTTGAAAAAGGCGAAAAACAACACATCATATTCAAAGCAAAGAAGGATATAGAGGTAGAGGACGAAATTCGATTTAATTATGGTGGAGAATCGTATTCATGGCGCCACAAGGTATTTTTGTGTCAAAATTCTGTTTATTATGCAATGTAAAACACCTATAAAATGCATACTTACGATGGTTTATACATGAATTAATTAATTTGATTTTATTGTTTTGATTCCTAGGTTTCAACCTGGACACCCTCATGGTTTCGGAATGGAAGCTCCTGAACAGATTGACTGAAAATTGTTTTTCTAATAACAAATAGAATATTTTGATATATAAAATGTTAAAATGTTCTTCAAAAATCCATGTATTAAAATGAATTTTAAATTTAAGATATTTGAAAATATATAAAATTTTAAAATGTACTTCAAAAACTCATGTATTAAAATGAATTTTGAAATTAAGATATTTGCTTATTTTCAATTCTAAATCAAGGCTTATTCCATAAATAAAATGGAAACTGTTCAATTAATTCAAAATATCAACATAACATTTATCAAAACTTTACCTTAATCTTAACCGTAACCCTAATCTTAGCAAAAAACTTTACCTTCCCTTTTTTTAAACCTTAATTTAAATTTTAATCTTAACTTTAAACTAACCCTTAATCTAGCCTATGAACTAAACCTTATGGCAATATACGGCCGAATTATCTGCCCCTAAAATTTGTTTAAATCATTTGTCCATACTTTCCGATCCAACATTTTTTGTCTTTTACAGACACGATAGTCTATGCATTGGTCTTACAAATTCAACTACTAGATCATTCTCACAAAGGAAGATTTTTTAGATTAGTTACCATATCAAGATTCCTTTCTGAAACAAGAACTAAAATTTAATCTTAATCTTCAACCCTTCATTAACTTTAAAAACTTCCTTTAATATTAATCCTTAACCCTTACCTTAACCTTTATCTTCAAACCTAACCTTAACCTTAATCTTAAACCTAACCTGGTTTTTTAAACATAACCTGGTTTTTTAAACATAACCTGGTATCTTAAACTTTACATGGTATCTTAAATCTAACCTGGTATCTTAAACCTAACCTGGTATCTTAAACCTAACCTGGTATCTTAAACCTAACCTGGAATCTTAAACCTAACCAGGTAAATTAAACCTAACCTGGTAACTTAAACTTAACCTGGTAGCTTAAACCTAACCTGGTATCTTAAACCTAACCTGGTTAGGGTTAGGGTTAGGGTTAGGGTTAGGGTTAGGGTTAGGGTTAGGGGTTAGGGTTAGGGTTAGGGTTAGGGTTAGGGGCATAGGTTTCAGTCTATTTGGTAACCTGACAGCATCCTGTCAGGTGGGGTTGCGGCATTTGGTAACATTCCAAATCGGTATTTGGTAACTCGTAGGTAAATGGTAACTTTGGAGCGAGGTATTTGGTAACTTGGAGCGGTATTTTGTAACGCGGCATTTGGTAACTAGGGAATTGGTAACTGGGTATTTGGTAACTTTCTGCGGCATTTGGTAACTTGTGCGGTATTTGGTAACAAATCTCTTTCTGAAGGGTTTAGGAAATTATGCATAATATTATGTAAGTATTTTGAGCGTTCTAACCAAGGTATTGGACGATTATTTGGTTTAGCGCTCTGTTTAATGTGTTTTCTGAAGCAAGACTTCTCTCCGGTATTTGGTAACACCCTCTGGTATTTGGTAACCCCGAAAAAAAACTAAGTCCAACAAAAAAAACATTTTTTGGGGTCGTGTTTTCTATACTATTTGGGTCATTTCCTATCCAGAAAATTGGGTCAAATTTTGGTGATATTGTATTTACACGCGGGAAATGGTAACTTGGAGTTACCTCTCTTTGACCGCTGAAATTTATCAAAAATCCAAAAATCGAGTTTTTGTCTCCGACCGGAGACCCACAAGTTACCAATTAACGCCGGAGTTTAAAATTACCGCTGGGGACTACAAATGGTAGTTTATGGATCTTTTAGAGCCCTAGCATATATTCAAGCCATTTACAATGCTTTTGAGATTGGCGAGACTATTTTATGAATATTTATTATCCTTCTGTGCCACAAAGACTGTTGGGAGGGTCTTTTCATCTTGTGTAACACTCTGTTTTGTTTGGAATGGCTAGGCTATGTACTTTTATCAGATCTTTTGGCATCAAAGTCTTGTTGGCCTCTCTGTTAACATCCATAATTTGAAGTCAACAAAGGGAAGTGTGGGTCACGGTAATAGGTTTCAAATGTTTGAACATGGGTAGAAGCCATGCTTAATATTGTTGATACCGTCAAGTGCCTTTAGAATATCTTCTGTACATCTGTGCCCTAAGGACTGTCAGGGAGGCTTGGGTGCCTTATTAGCACACTGTTTTGTATTAAAAGGCTTGGGGAGGAACTTTTATCAAATCTTCTGGCATCCAAGTCTTCTTGGTTTGTTAACAAGCATAATTTTCAGTGGACACAGGGAAACGCCGATCAAAGAGAGTTTACTGATAATGATAAATTAAGGACAGGTTTTGTGTTGTGAATAAAGTCTATGTAGTATACCAATGTAATGGTAATACAAGAGTAGTGGGATGGTATATACAGTTGATTTAAGACTGCATACAAATTTAGGTACAGAACACTGCAATCATTGTTAATGTAGTGTTTGAAGTAAGGACCGGGGATATCAAGTATATCATTAAGGGATATTATAAAGGATGTGGTTTCTAAGGTATATCAATGTATTTTCGGTATAGAAACAACGGTGGTTGTGGTGTACTCATTATATCAGAGAAGATATGTAATAGGAACGGTGGTGTTTGTAGTTCCTTAGTAGATAAATGACAACCACGGTAGATGAAGTATAAATTGTATATCAATACAGGTACAATGTATCAACAGGAGAAAAAACAACTCATATAGCAGATGGAGGACAGGTACAATAAATGAGGATTTCTGTGGAGGCGGCACAAGTATAGTGCAGGATACTGTCTTTGAGTATATATATAGAACGGGCGTCGTAGTGCATAGAGTCAATTTATCAGTTTTCAATAGGGACAGGTACAGTGTTGGATGTGATTTTTTTTTCTAAGATGAAAAAAAGTACTATTGCGGTTTTTTTTATCAACTTATCAACTCGGTGTCAACGTATTATAGTTGTAGTGGAGAATACATTTGGAATAAGTTTACAGAGAGATGGATGGAGTTTATGCTGTAGACAGAGAATGATAGATATCTTGGCTTAATTACGAGTTTTTAATCAATTTGAGTACGAAGGTTTACGTTGCATTTGTGGTATATTAATCTTGATGACGGACGGGTACAATTGAAGATTCAGAATAAGCCTTTTTATCATCACTATATCACCAATTACCCCTAACCTAGTATACCGGGAAACCTACCTATTGCCCCTTTCCTAATATACCCTGAACAATTACTCATTTACCTTGTATACCTATTACCCCTAACCCTGTTCTAATATACCTTGAATCATTTCTCATTAGCCTCACCTAGTATACCTCTACCCATTACACCTTACTTAGAATAACCCTTTCTCATTACACATGATTTTTTTTTTCAAACCCATTTGATTCTTCGCCTTACTAGCTATTAGAGTCTTTTCATGAAGAATTCAAATTCTTCATGATATTAAAGGGTCATTTCCTATCCCAAAAATTACGTCAAATGTTGGTAACTTAGAGCGGGATTTGGTAACTAACCCTAACCTATCTCCCGTTTGGGTTTAAGGGCACTCGTTAAGTACGTGGGGCTGGAGGGTCTTCATCTGTATCAGGTAGTTAAAAATGGTGTTCAAACGAGGGTCCTAAGTATGAATTATGTATGAATTATATGAGCAAGCGTTAAATGGTAACTTAGAGAGCGGGATTTGGTAACCAACCCTAACCTATCTCCCGTTTGACTGGGTTTAAGGGCAATCGTTAACTACGTAGGGCTGGAGGGTCTTCATCTGTATCAGGTAGTTAAAAATGGTGTTCCAACGAGGGTCCTAAGTATGAATTATGTACGATTTATATGAGCAAGCGTGATTTGGTAACTTAGAGCGGGATTTGGTAACGGTATATCGGGATTTGGTAACAAAGCGGGATTGGGTAACTTGTGCGGGAAATGGTGACCTAGAGCGGGATTTGGTAACTACCCTAACCTATCTCCCGTTTGACTGGGTTTAAAGGCACTCGTTAAGTACGTGTGGCTGGAGGGTCTTTATCTGTATCAGGTAGTTAAAAATGGTGTTCCAACGAGGGTCCTAAGTATGAATTATGTATGAATTATATGAGCAAGCGTGATTTGGTAACTTAGAGCGGGATTTGGTAACGGTATAGCGGGATTTGGTAACAAAGCGGGATTGGGTAACTTGTGCCGGAAATATTGACTTGATTTCATTTGAATCCTATTTTACGGGCATAGGGCATTGAGAAGAGTACCTAAATGTCTGTTAGACCGTACGTTCCCAGAGATATTTAAAGAACAAGCTCTTGGCTACTGTACTTCAGGAAATCAAAGCCAAAAGGGCCAATTGGTCAATTAAATTATATTCCTTCTTGAATTTTCGGAGATAAAGTGCTATGTGTTCTATGAGATGGGGGCCTAGATAGCGTCTACTATAGTACAGAGTAAACTGACAGTGGAGACTTATGCTGCTTCAGTTTCACGCTAGCAAGTACTAACAATACGATCACTTATTATTAGAAAACAAAATATGGGCAAAAATTTATGATATTTAGAAGAATAAGCCTTCATCAATTGTGTTTCAGACCGTTTCTTTTATCATCACTATATCACCTATTACACCTAACCTAATATACCTGTACACCTACCCATTGCCCTTTTCTAGTATATCCTGAACAATTACTCATTTACCTTGTATACCCATTACCCCTAACCCTGATCTAATATACTCTGACTCATTTCTCATTAAGCTGATCTAGTATACCTCCACCCATTACCCAATACACCTTACTTAGCATACCTTTTCTAATAATTCCTGATTTTTTTTTCAAATTCATTTGATTTTTCGTCTTACTAGCTATTAGGATCTTCTCATGAAGAATTCAAAGTCTTCATGACATTCAAGGGTTTTGGAAAGTATGCAAGATATTATTTAAGTATTTTGATCGTTTCAAACAAAGTATAGCTCTATAATTTCTTTTAGCGTTTTATTAAATGTGTTTTAATAAAGAGTTTTTTCCGCTATTTGGTAACACTGAAAAAAAGACTAAGTGTAACAGAAAAAAAAAAACGTTTTGGTGGTCGTGTTTTCTATACGATTTGGGT